CTCGACTTGTTTTCTTAAAAATCATACTTGGAGGAGACTTGGACAAATTAAACTGCAGTTAAATAAACCATTCAATTTCGTAAGGCAACGTGAAATGGCTTACCACAGCGGGCTAGTCATTGGATTATATACCTATAACTTTTATTATTAAGGTCCATAATAAAAGATAGTGTGTGTATACTGTATATATATCGGACACTTATTACATTTTTAATTTATTAGAAGAAGAAACTTATATTTTTTTTTCATAATACGGCAACACAACTTAAAAACCTTTTTCGAAAACAAAATAAAAAAACTCCCATTAAAATATTTTAGATTACGTTTATTACGATAACGACTATCGTTTATTTTCTTAAGTTATTGAATAATACCAATTGTAGAGTGGTTTTTAGGATTAATTTTCAAAAAAAAAAAAAAATAAGAAAATATATAGTTATATACATTTAAGTAAGCATAATATATTTGTTTGAAATCTGGTTTTGTAAACTAGCACGGTTTTTTGTCGTTTGCGTGTTTGTAAACGCACAAGTATTTTCTAATTTGAATTTTGATGGGATCTACTCAAACAAGTTTTATTCAATATAGGAACTTGCTTTACAAAAAGTTAGCCTCATTTAAAAATATACTATTCCCTGTACAATATGTAATACTTGCTTGTGTGTTCAATTTTTTTAGGAAATATTGATTATTAATCATACATAATATGATGATAATTTGAACTAAGAAATGTACGTTTATTGTTTAGTTCCGAAAATTGAATTTAAATCAACAATCAATATAACTGTTCAAAAAAATGAATTCGTACTACTTTGTGTCTTATGAATATAAACGTTTTTAAAATAAGCATATAATATAGGTACTATTAGCTGAAGCATCAGGTAGAGCTGGTACTAATGAAATGAAAATTTAATTTTAAATTCAGTGTTTAAATTTTATATTTGAAAAAATTCATCATCTACTATGAGGTTATAGCATATGTTCACAAATCAAAAATAGTCTACTATTACAGGGGTCCATTAAAATCATAACAAAAATACTTATAACTGCTGACACATTTTTAGGCTGCAGGTATAATAAATCCCATTGGTTCTCCACACACTTAATTTCCGTTCGAAAGTTTCTCTGAAATAAAAACCGATAATATCTCGGGGATTGTATTATACTTGCAAGCTTTAGAACGAAAAGGAAAAATATATTTTATGACCGAGAGGGTTTCGTAGAAATCACATTTATCAATTGTCTAATCTGATGTATGAAAAAACTTTTACAGTGATCGTAATTGAAGATTTTTGTGAATGTGCCCGAAGATGTCCTAATCCAGTTCAACGGTGTAAAGAAATATCACGCTGAGATATGATATTATAGTTTTGTATTGATCTAACGAAATATTACGCTCGTAGCATCCCAAGTCACAACTATATTAAAACAAAAGTGTAAAAAGTAATTTCTCCAATTGTGTAGTTTATATTTATTTTCATAAGTTGATATGGTTTTGTATTGCTCTAACGAAATATCGCTGATAGCATCCCAAGTCAAAACTATAATAAAACAAAAATGTAAAAAGTAATTTCACCTTGTAATCACTTGAGTTTTTACTTTTTCATCGTTTCCTGTTTAAAAAAAAAATAGAACCCAAGCCGTTGGCATTTAATTATATTATTTAGTCTGATTAGCTTCATAATATAGTCATTATTAGCCGATAAGGAACGTCGAAATGTGTCAATATTTACGTTTATATACATATATTTCAAACAATTTCATAAGTTTTATTTTCCCCGCAAATAGGTAGTATGGTTTTTGAAACATAACTTTCTACTTTATTTGGCGTGTACATTTTAATTAAAAATAAACACAGAGACTATGCTCCACTTATAACGTAATAATTTAAAATACCGGAGCAAATGTTTATGTTTTTTTTTTACAAACAATATTTTGTTTTCATACAAAAGTAATATAATATAGTTGTATACTGTATACATTTCACTAACGATTGTTAGTTAATTAATAACAGAGAGCAAAGCATATACCTACATTTTTTTTGTTTTTAAGATTTTTGTTATTGGAATTAGTTTGGAAATAAGTTAAGCCTACCACATAACGACGCACGACAGATTGTATGGGAAGAGAATGTCTTGTTTTTAATATTATGTTAAAAACCCAACGCATATTGTACAAAAGGTATTTTTCTAAAAAAAAGTGGTTATGAGAATAAAACTTGAATAATGGTGGTACAACACATGTGCACTAACTTTTGTGACCTTACACTTTAAACGGATCATCAATTTATTAATTTGTGTTTTGTGAGAAGAGGATGTATAATATGGACGTGTAGACTGTAGATATAAAAAAATTACTTTTATAGAGAATTTTTAACAATATTATAAAAAAAAACTTTTCATCATAGATATTTTTTTTTGTAACAATGTTTTATTTATAATTCGACAGTTTTTGTTATAAATTATTAAATTTAATTCTTCAGAAAATCTATAATATAAGTACTTATAATTGGTATACAAGTTGGAAATAATAAAACATCAAAATTATATTAATTATGTAGGTGTTAAGTGCATACACTATACTTAAATTAAAAATTTTTTTTTAAAGTTTTAAAATCAAATATAAAATTTAATTTAATTACATACGTATGTCATACATACACTAAAAAGTGTTTCAAATGTCACCGAAAAAAAATATACATTTACAAATCTAAAACCTATTCATATTTTAACCTAGATTATGATATGTTTAGAAATCAAAGATAACCATTTCATTATTAACTATACCACTAAACCTATTGAACGTTTGTTGTTACTCTATGCAACAGGTAGGTTTGTATTATATTCATATACTATATGATTGTTGTACCCGAAACGTGTAGCGAATATGCAATATAAAAATAATTACCTATAACAGTTTGAATTATAATTCGTTTTAATTTTTTCCTCGAATCTAACTGTTTTTAAACCGAATTAAATATACCCAAGTAGAAGTGTGGTAAAAAAAATATTAATATTTATTATAGACTATTATATTTTATTACATTAATTATTACAGCCGGCCATGTCTTAAAAGGGATTTACGTGGGAGTTAAACATTATAATTTATTTGGGAACAGAAAATGCCCAAAAGCGACTACAGTGCCGTTGGATACACAGTTACGTCGATCACTGGGAAAACGAATTGTTTCAAAAATTGTCCGTTTGAATTTATTACCGCGGTCGTGTGTAAAATGTAAATACCAAATTACGTATACCATACATTATAGAACCGGTTCCGGCACGGGGTCAAGTATCGACCGAGTGCTAACTCGCTTAAGTTATACAATGGGCCGTATCGCGGGCATAATATTAATATTATAATCTGCTGGTGTATAACATGTAACAACATTATGGTAGGCCGCAGTAAGGTACCACCGGAAGAATTGTTAATTAATGTGAGCATAACGACGAAGAAACACCCATTTTGAGCGACCGAAACTCGACGTAGAAGTCTTTTAATAATGATAATAATATTAATAATTGCGTTTAATATACATAACATTATCGCCTCATCAGACACTTCTTTTCTCTTTCTATCGCCGCCGATATCGATTTCTAGTCGTATGGTCCGTGTGTTAGTGGACATGCAATCGCAGTTATTAACTTGTCAAATACCGCTCTTATCGTACCACTTTGGGACGACACGGCGGCGGTGGAATGCGTGTGGGAAGGAGTTCGCAGCCTGCAGTGGAGGCGGGTGGTGGCGATGGCGGAAGACCCCTACTTTTCACGACCAGTGGACCAAGACCTGATCGCTGACATACGACGCATCTCTGGACATCGCTATTTTATATTTAATTTATTTCGTATGATATTTAAAATCGTCCACTCGAGTAAACTATTACACCGATGGCTCCCCATCCTGCTGCAGTGGTATGGCTTGCCTAATTAGCGGAAGTATAAAAAGAAATGTAGCCCATACCTAGCTATTACCTAGGTAGGTATATGGACATATGGTGTAACGATTTACTTTCTTGACATTAAACCTCTGTAGGTATATAGCATACATGACTTATAGTTGGCGGCGGTCTATGCGTGATCAATACGGCATACACAAAAACTATTTCGCTTTTCTTGTAGCATGTATTTATAAGTAGGTACAGGCAGAACGTAAAAGTGTCGAAATAAAATTTATCAGAAAAATATTCGAAATTTTAATAGGTTAGGTTGAATAAATTATTTTACTCGTAAGAATGATGGACCTCAATTGAGGAAGAAAAAAACGAAAGCTATATAGTATATTAATTAGGTTAAAATATTATTTTTTCAATAATTAATTGAAATCAAAATCGAGACTTTCAATATGTGGCAGTGAGGAGCAGCGTCCTAGTAAAATCTATTTAATTTGTTATTGTTAATTATGTTTGGCTATAATAATAATTACTAATTAGTATATAGAACATATTTGTTATTCTGCTGTTGAAGCCTTTCGGGCGTTACAAAACATCACGATCTCTCTGATAATTAAATAATATGGCTCACCAATGTCACGTACTACATATATAAATTACCCGCGAATAACTTGCAGTGTTTAAGCTCCCTATCGGCGTATCTATCTCATCGTTTCTGACGCCCCCAAAAACGGTCACCGGTACGTTCATCACATCAATAATAATCAAATCCCGGTTCAAGAGCACATTAATTTCGGACAGAAATATAATATGAACTCGACAACGAAAGTGATGTCCGAAATAATATAATACCTTTAATGACCGCCGCAGTAATAATAATTGTTATATACTATAAGGTATATAAAATAATTGTTTTCGCACGAGTGTACGTCGTAAATAATATAATTTTTTCCGGGAATCGCATTACTGGAGGATACACCCAATTGATTAAACGCGTTTCGTTAAAAACTGGCGACAACCGTTAAGCAGCGATAAAAAATAAATTAAATAATTCGAAAATTCGAACGACCAGTAGCAGAAAAAAAAATCAAATCCATTTACTCCTTACCTGTTGTATTGATGGTATTTATCTGTTACAATACGATTTAGACTTTTTTGCAGCTCTCATCGTTGTTGGACAGTTACCCGTACTCAATATACAGCCGTTGGTGTGGTATGCAGACGAAGAAATCGAACAATCTGAAAACAACAAGATATTATTATATCAGCAATCAGTACAACTACCGCACCAAAAATAATCATATTATGCACTTAAAGAAGTAAATCGATATGAATAAAATACATTTTAGAAAGAAAAAACCACTCAAACAAACAACACTAGATCCATATAATTTAGGTACCTACAACACGTCTTAACCATTCAAACATTTTATTTTTTTTTTAATGTTATAGGCATTGTTCGCGTTACGGATTATTATTTTAATATCAGAAATGAGCCGCACAATATTTTGTCATTTTCCCCCCTAACTTCAGTAAATATATAACAACTTTTTTTAGAAAACGTAAAATATATTCGGTACACACACCGGATATACCTACCAAATAGTTCCTATATTATACAAAATATAGTTTTAACAAATTAACGCGATTCCGTGAAAATATGTAAGACATAAATTAATAAACCAACTCAATGCCCGAATGAGAATTCCACTGTACGCAAGTTACGGTAGGATCAATAGTATAATAACATCATCATCTAAAATTCTAAAATATAATGTGTGCCGTGAGGGGCTTATTACCTTACGGCGAGACCGGTACTGACATACTATGGCGTCCAAAAAAGTGTGCTGTGCCCGAGCCTGTGCCTGCGAGTTTGTTAAACATTTTTGTGGGATTAATATCTTTACACCCATATTTTATTTATGGCGTTTTTTTTTTCATCCGATGACTTAGAGTGTGGGTACAGTATACCATTGAGCCAACACCTGTTTCTTTTTTTTTTAATATACTTAATATGATACTGTTATATAATACAGGTAAGTATAAAACCCCAAATGGGTTGTGTTTTGGCCACGTGTAGCCAGTTTTAACACGAAGGACGGGTATTCATACGGATATGCGTAGAGCCCGGTAGAGGTACGCAATGGTGGGCATTAATTTTAGTTAAAAATGTTGAGTTAAGTTAATATAATATGTTTATTTATTTTTAACATTTTAAATAACTTAAGACTTTAACTAGTTTAATTGATTGTTGAAATAACTAAGATTCTTTTCAGATGATTCAAAAATAATCTATAAGTTTAAAATAAAACATTTTTAAAATTTTTGGTTTTAATGGTTTTATATACATTAATATTACTGCGTATACGGGTTTTAAATAAAAATAATCTAATAGCGAAATGAAATAATAGTAATTACTAGGTAAAATTCAACAATCATTAGCAATAACCACAGATCACAGAAAATCAAAAGTAATTCATAATAATGAAATTTTTTTTTAACAAATAAATAATTATATAACGTTCTCCTCTATAATATGAAGTTAAATTCATTATTTTACATAGTTTTATAACACTCATTTACAATCTAAAAATCTTAATATAGGTACATATTACATGTACAGGATGTCCTGTGAGGATATAACCTAGAGGGGACTCGCCACACGGAAAAAACGGTTTTTTGCATGCAGTTTTACCTATAAACTAAAAAAAATTGACTAACTTTATATAAGCCGCGAGTTTAGTTAACAATTTTTTTTTTCAATTTACTTGAAACTTGGAGAGTTAAATATATTATTTGTTAACTATTAAATTCTAAATTCTAACTCAACAATTTTGTGTTCACTTAACCCAACTCGAGTTAATTATTTCCATTTAATTATCCATTTGGGTACCCCGCAGGCTGCCACACAACTGTAGATATTTTTTAACACGACGCGGGTACAACAACAAAGTGAATTTCGGGTTTTAATTTTCTTTAAATCGCAGAGACCAATTTTCGTGGTAGTTTATGAAATGCCAAAAATAATATTGATATATTTTTCTACGCACACCTTTGTGTTATTATAATCCAGTAGCGAAACGTGTTCGTAAGGAACCCAATAATTATTGTAATACACGCAGTTGTACTACACACACACATATACACCAAACTAACGTGTTATTATTGTTTCACGGAATTATTATAATAATGTTCACGTATAGTTAAGTTCTACGTTCATCGCAAATTTGTACGCTTAATTATTATTCATATACATTATATTATTATTCACTGTACAACAGGTGTCCGATATCGAAACAGAATAACCGAAGACCTCCTTAAAGTTGTTTGTTTTTTTACCTGTACTATAGGCAACATATCTCGTAGTAATTATTATAATTATAATGATAACCATCTTGATTTACGAAAATATCGAATGCGCGAACTATTATAGGTATACTAGCTATGTAATAGAAGTAGTGATTTGAATGCCTAATAAATAATTTATTATTTAATTAATTTTCTTCAGTGAATAATGAATATTGTTAATTATTATAATTTATGTTACCTACACGGTAAACGTTTTAAAAATATCTGAGTCAGATTGGTTCAACTCAAATAAGTTGTCTTTTCATCTATTGCCGAAACACATATAGGTGTTGCATTTTTCGTAACTATAGTACTACAATGATTTCCGCTTACAATATGTAATTCCAGCCGGTTTATATAGAACCATCTATTTGTTGGGAAATTAAAAGCTAAAAACTAAACCAAATAATATATCATTAGAATATATCTGTTATGTTAGGCTAACCTTTTATCGTAAGATTCTAGTGGTTACTGCGTATAAACCGGATAGTTAAATAATTAAAATCCAAGCTGATCGTAATCATAAATTCATAACACGCCATGACACACTGACATTTTCAGCTGTGGAATTGTAGCCTAATAACATAATTGATTATAAATACAATAGTATTGGGGGGTCATCCATCCTTGAACTAATGACGACGGTCAATGCTTGATCTCAGCACAAGTTAAAGAGTGCGGCCAACCACCGTGTCACACCAGGCTCCATCCAATGAATTATAATATGCCTCAAGAAATTTACTCTGATATGGAAAAAAATTATCAGAACGAACGTGTTTAGGTGTTTAGGATGTATTATACAATGTACATAATCGTAAATCAAAGCTCAGTGTGCAAAATACGATGTGAATAAAATTGTTACTAAAAAAAAGTACACGGGGATTTAAATAATATTTGTAAATAGTAAAATGTGTAAGACAATATATTTGACTGTGTAGTAAAAAGCTTTATTGAAATTATAAAATAACATTAATGTCCGTTTATACATCTGGTGTATTGAAAAAATTCTTATACCGTAAATTACCTGTGTAATAATATATACCTATCATCAGCTAAAATCAATGGAAGTAGTAAGTATATAGGCGTCTACTGTCTGGCATGTTCTAGGCGTACCTACCTACATTTGTACACTGATTTCGATCTTGTTTCTCGTACAGTCGCACCTAATGAAATCGCGATAATAATAAAAAGACATACGTCCAAGGTTAGGACGCGCTGCGCAGCAAAATCGAAGATGTCATCAGCTACAGTCTCGTGAGCACACTCACATAATATAATATCATTATCATATCGGCCTCCGCCGCCGCGCCGCCTTGGCAGTGTTGAAGAATGGAGACTTTTTGTTGAACGATTTACGCGACGCAAGTTTTGGCGCCGACCGAAGAAAATTGGAATTTCTGCGGATGCGCGAGTTATAACAATAATAATAATACACGGCTGCGATGTAGGAAAACAATGGGATGTAAACACCATTATGGCTGCAGGTCGATCACGACAGGTCTCCAACATCACTGGTTGCGCACGCCGTATGTGGCCACGGAGTGTCTTGCACGGTATATTAAATAAAATAAAAAACATTCATCGAGTTTATCGCATACGAATAGACGGCAGCCTCCTATTCTGCTGCAGTGGGCTTCAAATGTGCTGCAACCCGAGGGTCTAGAGCCACGAAAACGCTTATAGAGATCCGGTGATAAGAAACGGATCGAGATATTCTATTATGTGGCCGTTTAATAACACCAATAGACGTAAGTAATAATAATATGGTATGGGTATACGACGGTGTATATAGTATATTATAACTACGATATTATACGTGTATACGTGTATACGTGTATACATAGATATATATATATTTTTTCCTTGAGGTACTTAAAAGTATATTCTAATCGTAGCACTTTAGTTCAGAAATAATAATTGTACACGTCGTGTAGGTGGATTATATAGGTGTACTGTATATATAGTACGGGGTGATCTATTTGACGTAATACGCACTTATTATTGTTTCGGAAAACACGAAAGTTTTTGAAAATGTTTCTGCTAAGTGTATAATATTAAATGTCTTTCGGTTATATTTTCACTAGGTACTTCATTATTTTCTAAGTTCTGTACAATTTTTGGTGGGAATATACAGTTTTAATTTAAAAACGTTATTCGGAATATTTTGATCTATAAAAATCAAATTTCGAACAATAGTGGTTCGTTAGTTATGAGTATTTAAGCTTTGGTTGAGAAGAGGAGTAGTGGACCAACATTTTGAAGGGTACCCCTGTGCCACTCTACTCTGCTCATCTATACTTATAAGCTTCTAAGCTACCTACTCGTGGAAAATTCAATTTTTTTACATCAAAGTACTCCGAATAATATTCTGCGAAATCGTTAATAGTTGTTTTTGAAATAACTAGTGTCTTGCGTAAAATCGATCACCCGGTACATAGTTTAATAGTATCTATAGTGTATAATTATATTATTAATATATCGTAGATAAGTATAATTTTATTTTCACGGACGATCTTATTTACAAACGAGGTCAGCCGAAGTTGATCATGCGGAGTTCGACCAAGCGAAAGATTTTTCGGTTTTATTAATTATTCGTTTGTTGTTTATAGCGAAATATAATATTATGTATCTATACTAATAACTGCTGTGGAATCTGTACTCTGCAGTATAACGATAGACAACTTGTGCATTCTTCTTTCCTCTCAAATGCGCGCACAGTTAGCTATAATTATAGAACCTTTTATAATCGTAGACTCCGGTTACGAATTGAGTGTATAGCATTATAATGAAATTCATAATAATATATTATATTTGCAGTGTATATCGCGATTCTATAATATTCGATTGTCCCGGGAAAATAATTAAAAAATATGTTTCTATATTATGCCAATAATTATGTAGGTACGCTCCTACGATATGCCAGTCAGTCGTCGCTCACTATAATACGGCAAGGTCGTTTGTTTTCTACCATTTTTACATCGAACAGCACACAAAATACGCGCATATATTGGGGACAATGAACTTGAATTTGTTTCAAACAAATCTTGATGATGAACACACGGTCGGAGTGAATATTATTATTATTATTATTATTATTATTATTATTTTAGATATATCGCCATTGAAGTGATCCCTGATTGGAATACTGAGAGCGGACGTGCGTTATAACGGTCTCGACGTGTCAATGAATATTAATATAATATATTGTACATTGACTAGCCCTCAAAAACAATGCAAGTCTAACAAGTTTCGCTATGGTTTCGGTTTGCAGCCGCGCACATGTATATTTGTGTCATTTCCATATAATAATGTATTAAAAAGGTGTTTTTGACAACTTATTTTTCACAATACCGTGGTCCATGACAGAAATGCATAGGTTTACAGCAGACATTGCGTACACGGATAATAGTCGTATTAATCGTATTATAAAGATTTTAAATATTTTATTCATCAACAGCTAGCTAATAACATACATTTATAGGCACCAACTATTTTAGCACAGGCACCTACTTTAGTTTAAAATTTATAAAATCTGTTGAAAACTCATGTGTTGAACTCATTGTATACGCGTATAATTGGACATTGCAGTTATCGTCTTAATGACGGCATACAAAATTTGCAATTTCTCATTGATCAGACAATACTATAAGAATATTATGCTTAATAACGATTGTATATTAATGCATATTATTCGATTCAAGAAAGTCCCCGTATGAGGTCACAATTATTATAAAGAAATTATAATTGTGATCGATTTCATATTTCATATCTGCCTTGGATATTTTGTTGTTAATCTAATAGGCAATAGTCATGCGCAAAATCATTCAAGCTTTTATAATATTATTATCTTTTATTGTTATTATTATTATTAAAAGATCCGACAAACCTATTAAATAATTTTTTGTCAAATTTGATGAATTTTCAAGTTTTAAAACATTATATAGTTGTTTCCAAGAAACTAATAAAAAAATACAATTGTCATATCGAATTTAGTAACGTCTGGAAAAAAAATCGTTATAAAAGATCGAAGATCCGTTTCATTTTCTTTTCGCGTTATATTTGTCATCATGTCCGTGCTCATATGTTATAACGGGAATCACTAAACGAGACGTCACGGCATTTCAGTTATTATATTTAACTTTTTTTTAAAAATAATACAATTATTATATATGCACCAATATAATATAAGTTATTAATAGATTTATATTTTATACATTAACGTGAGCACATATTAATTTTTGAAATATTTTTATAAACTGGATACAAGTTTAATGATTTCACCAGAATTTTAATTGAAAAAAGACTCCAGGACAACAACTCGGAACGTATCTAATCAGTATAACAATTTATATTAACGTACCTACCAACTTCGTGATTTGGAATAGTACCAACGATTTTTTTTTTGCAATGTCTATGTTTAATAGATGGATTATATCTACATTAGAGCTATAAGTTTTAAGTTTTAACTAAGCATAATATTAATTACCGTAATCTAAATAATAATGTTATGTCTGTGGGAAACACGCATTTTATAATTTTATATCGTAATAATGTGTTAATGACCTCTAATTTTGTAACAATATACAATGAAAAATGTAAGAGGATAAGCAATGTTTCAGTTCCTCTCCATAATCCAAAATATATATTATTTTCCAGGTTATGAAAAAATTCTTAACTAGGCTAAATATTACGCAAATAAATGTATGAATAAAACTGAAGGTATGGGAAGAAAACATAATTTTAACAAACAGTTATTGTTAAAGAAAAATTCAATTAAAAGCCATAGTAATGTATTTTGACATTTAAAAAATATCGATAAAACGTCGCCTTTATAATACTTTCGTTTGTACATTTTTTATGCTTTTAATAATCGTTTTTTTTTATTTTAAGAACTCAGAATGTAAAGGCTAAGATCAAAGTACGATAATATTGGAAACTATTAATTTTTCTTAAACATATTTAATACAATTTTTCGCCTCACATTTTAGTCTACAAAATTGGAATAAAATTATACACCAATTCGGTTGACGAATATTTATTGAAAATACAAACTATCCTAACGAAAACTGGCGTCGAATTAAACTGTGTAGTACAGGAAAAAAAATTGTACTTTTGCATTTTAGGTAAATTTATACTGTCGAATTAAATATTGTTTGCAGTGTATGTTTCATTCGATAAATTGCATTTAAGTCTTTACATAATCAAAACTGCATACAAATCACACTTTCAGACTATTTTACACGCATCGGTTAATGCTTTGGTACCAGCTGTTTAATGTATATGATAATCTTTGATGCGGATCATGACACGTAATTTTCTTATTTTGTCATCTCATCGTTGCATCGCAATCTTTAATTGTGATACGTTAGACGTATTGACTTAATACTTTTTAAAAAAAACTCGTTTTTAGAATCCGTATCCACGATGTAATTTAATCAATTTAATCGGTACTGTTATAGTGTTATGTCTTACTAGAACGTGATAGTTCTAGAGTCTTATAATATATCATATATTATTTAATACAATTCAGAACTTCTCCTTAGATCATACAATATACGCTGCAGTTATGAAAGAAATATTTTAATTAAACGTATAGTAATGATGATAACATAAATGGACATAAAACACAAGAAACAAGTAAGACGAGAATAATAAAAAAAAAAATAGGTAATCCGTAATAATTAAACAGCAGACTCAAAGTACCGAAAAGACCCTAGCTAAACCCGGATACCGGATTTCACGGTATTTAGATGTATTCTTCATACTATAAAAAATATAAAAAACAAAAATTGTAACAAATACCTATGATTTATGGCAGTTTTCCACATACCTATCGAATAGTTATTAGTAACTGACGACTAATTCGTAAAACGACGACGACGATACACGAACGAGGGAACGATCATACATTTAATATTAAATGTCTTGGACAACGCCTCCACCTGCAATTACCTTGGTTGCAAAGCGAATGACGGATACAAAAAGTCATAATATTATACCTATAATAATAATGATGAAAAAATATTCTCTAAAAAACAATATTATATACTTACGACGCGTATATCGGCGGCGGAGTCGGCCGGTTGGAAAACTCGGCAGACAAATAATATAATATACAGGAGTCTTACGCGAACGGCACGCGCAGCACTTATAGAGCGTCTTCGAGTTTTCAATTGGCAAATATCGCGGTGTGTCGGCGGCGCAGTTGTACCGGTTGCGGAATGGACACTGACTGAACGAGTCGGAGAGCGCGCGCGCGAGCGTGTGCGGGCAAGGCGAATTCGATCGAACGGGCGGAGAAATGGAAAGAAAGGAATAGAAAGAGAATACGAAAAAAAAAATTCATATACACATACACACTCGCGTATACAACACTCGCTTATACGCGTTTGTGTGTGTGTGTGTGTGTGTGTGTGTACGCGATAAAGGGGACGCGGAAACTGCTGCAGCTATATAGCAGTAGGTCACCGGGTTCCCCCGTGGTGTGTCTGCGCGCAGTCGATATATAATATAGGTAGGTAGGTAGGTATATACCACGATGGTCTTGATGAGTTTCGTTTGGTCTGCACATGATATCCTATTGCGGTAGTCAATCCACCTCCACCTCCTCCGCTACCGGTCCTATATGCACATCCACGTGACGCGCAATATACATATTGGGTGGGTATCCATTATAGGTTCGGGCACCTCCCTCTATCCTCGCGGCTGCGGCAGGTCTAACACGCAAAGGGCTCCCGCTTGTTGTAGTATAGCCAGTATAGGTGCAATGTGTTACAGTACTATACGTTTAGGTATGGACTCCCATTTTCTTTTCGGTTTTACCCATTTAATAAAAAAAAAATAAAAAAAAAAAAAAAATTTTTTTTTTGAAAACAGAGATTCTTACAGAAACTGATAGTATAAGTATGATATTTGAAACATTATATATTATTATTAGAATGCTGCACTCGTACCTTAACGAGTAAAAATTAAACATTTTAACTTGTGGCCAATAACTACTGCAAAGTCTGTAAGTGAATAATGATTATTGATATTATAATATGATGTTAGAGGCGTGAAATACAGCTGTTGGTCGAGTTTTGTTTAGTAATATTATAAATAAAACAAATTCAACTATAGATAGGTATTTTTTTTTGAATAAAAATAAAAATTTATAAATCTGTATATTATACTCGTACTACATTACATGAAGCGAGTAGTATTTAATAAAAGAAATTACTAATGTAGAAACTATTTCTTTTATTTTTATTATATTAAGACATTCTTAGCCTTTGTGGGCTATCTAAATATGCAGACAACAGATATTTACGGAATCAGTAATTTTTGACAATTTTAACATGATAATATTAATTAATAATGTGACAATACTACAATAGTAATAATACTTAAGGTTGATTAAACATTCAATTATAAATAAAGTGATAATGTATAAATATAATATAATAGGAATTATAACAATTACAATTTGTAAATTTAGTATTACACTATTACGGTAATAATTATTTTAAAGGTTGTATCATAATATTTTTTTATATATGTTAAATATATAAGTATATTTAATGTTATATAAATACAAATTAAACAGTTAATTTTCGTTTTTAGTAATATAATCATAATTTTTTATAAGTTTTCACGATCATTATTATAAAGAGTCATGATAGAGTATATTAGATAGTTTTTCAGTGGGTACTCAAATTATTATTTTTGAATATGTATTATAATATTATACCTCTATAGATACTGTTAAACATCTATGGTTGATATCAAAGATTTAATATATCGGTATCTGCTGTTTAATTTCTAAAGCACAATAAGTTAAGACAATCAATATTTAAATATCTTAAGTTTAGATTGTTATTAAAAATCTGTTATATTTCAGGATGCGCTCACAGTTTTATCAAGTATAATAGAGATATCCTCAGGTGTCATCGATTTCGCTTTTAATTTGTATTATTAATGAATAATGATGTTTTCGTTTTTCACCATTATGCATATTAACTATTCATTCATGACTAGAAATTATATTTTACTATTATTCCATTCAAAAATTGTCCATGAGGTGACTATAATATACTATTCTATAGATTTGCACTTGATACTAAAATAGGAAATGTTATAATCAAGTATTCGCGAGTATAATTCTGTAGATACAATGAATAGTGAACACCCATGTCGTTTGGACATGCAATTTTTTCCTTTAGGTATTAAAGTGTTATCAGTGGATCAACAATTAAAATATTTTAATTAGTTGAAATAGCAAAAGTTTTACTTTGCACATTTCCATGTAAGTCATACTTGCTTAATTTTAGTACTGCAAATGTAATTTTATGTTTCTTAAATATTTTTACAACAAATTATTTTGAACTAAAGTATTAGTTAATCCGCAGTCGAATAGTCGATAGTTAATTACTTGTACTCATGAACTTATAATATTATAGGGTTCTAAAATGTTTATTAAACATCCAACCAGAATCTACTTCAAGAAAATAAACTGACTATTATAACAATTGGTTACTGATCACTACACGAAGTATATATATATATATATATATATATATATTTTATTTTAAGGTTTCAATATCTGTGATCATTAGCCTAAATGTTCTTGAGCACTTAGGTTTTTACCTGTGGAGAAGGATACTGTCGGTTAGACCACATGTATAAGTGGCTAGGATTTGTCACTAAAACCCGGATGGTCACCCATCCGGGAACTATGGACACCAACTGGTGCTTGACCTCAGAACACGTTTTATGACTTACTATCGTCAACTATCGCTCCACATCAGGCAACACGAAGCATATTATAATACAGCAATATTGTACAATTTCATACTGTGTTGCAAAATATGTAGTACGATAGATCATTATAAAACGAGTCATTAATCTGCAGATTTTTATTTCTCATTAAATGTTTAGTCGTTCGACTGTAATAATTACATATTGTATTTAATAGGTTACACTTATTAGAGGCACGTAATATTGTGATTGGTCTGTGTATGGAAGCCGTTTTCAACTTAATAAGTTGATTGACACAAGTAGCGCTTAGCCGTCGTAATTTATTTATTTTTACTTTTTTCCCGAACCAGGAGAAAGCTCTGAAACAATACGTACCGAAAATACAGATAAACATTATAATATACAATATTAATATATATTATTATTATGTGAGAGTATTTCTACAATATCGATGACGAAAACAAACGAAATCGTACGCACACTCCCGCGTGTCACAATGGACGGCGTTTACGGTTTGTTAGGGACTTACCTATGACGGTCGTTTTTGTTTTATTTTTCACACACGCGAGACTGTTTCACTCTGTCTCTGTCTCTTTCTCTTTCTCTCCGTCTGTCACTTTCTGCCTCTATCTCTCTTTCGGCTGCGCCGCGTCCGGCAACGAGACTGTCGTCCGACCGACGACCGAAAGTTCCAATCTCATTCGATATTTGACAGACAATAATAGGGCCCTATTCAAGCGAAACACACTGAAAAAATTAGCCCCGTTATTGTGTGCGCCAACTCCCACATACGTTTGGGGCGTTGAGAATTTTTAATTTTGCGGCCAACGGGTCAAGTCTTACGTGAGTTGAAATACATTTTGGATATTAGTCAAATATGCATTATAGGTAGTACACTACTACGCGGTGTAGGATAATATTATAGCAATAACACACACACATTTATATATATATTTACGAGCACGTGGCACATGGCGCTGACACGGAGAACAATGCTTCGATAATAACAACTAAAATAATAATAATATTCTTATTACATTAATTATTATTATCATCATCGGAATATTATACAATACACGTGTAATTGTATTACCATTATTCCGGAGGTTTGTGTAGTTTTTACGCGTATGTATATTATTGTATTGGTAGGTACATTGTATTTATGTGCCTATATATATTATTGTTCTACGGAATTTTCCGATTTTTAATTTTTCGTTCACATGAGCTACCGCAATTATAACGTGTCGTATAACTACTTATACCTATTGACCATTCCGTTGGTTGCATTTAAAAACCTCACGCTTATGATTTGGACTTCAAAATAGCCGAAGGAAAAAATCGCACTCTTCGTCGGCTCATTGGAAAGCAAAATATCGCAAACTATTTTGAATCTACAGACCACGCTACAGATGTATTCCGAATGACAAACACTTTTACTAAGTTTACCAAAGGATTGATAGAAGCCCTACATTTCCTTTTAAAATTGTGACATTCTTACTACCCTGCAAAATGAAAATAAATTACTTATGTTTAAAATTAAAAGTATAAAATTGAAAATTGGAAAAAAAATACAGAATTCTAATGTAATTATTGCGATTAGCTGCAGCTTATGGCAATTTTTTTAAATTTTGTTATTTAAATGAATATAAAATAGTTGGTTTTAAATATTTTAAGTATCCATACATTTTTAAGCTATTAAAAAATTTTCACAGTTCTTGGTAAAATAGCCTTCAAAAAGTGAGCAGTTTCAACCTACTAAAATGTTGCTAAAGTTTTTTGTTGTGTTTTATCTATAAAGTTTGTGGTTTTGCTATATCCTGCATGTGCTTTAGGGTACGTCATTCATAGGAAATATCATCTGTCTTTTAGATCTCTCATCTTTGTAATATATACAGCGTACAAATATATTTGATTATAATAAAAGATAATTGGTTTTAATGATTTTTTTATGGCTTCACATATGTTTTTACAACTTTTGGATTGAAATGTTTTATAAAGAATCGTATAGATACATTGTTTAAGTTTTCACGGACAAATGTCGTCATCGTTTTATTTTTAGGTAACTATTGATAAGTACAAAGTAATATGTTCAGAATATTATTGTTTATTATATTTGAAAAGAGGATTATGCCGTGAAACGTTTAATCTAAAAAATATTGCCAAAAAAAAAAAATTGTAAAATAGTATCCTTGAAAAATATTTAATGAAAAATCTGTAAATTTACCTTTACTAGTTTTTACCGATATTATTAAGAAAAATATTGAGAATTTCCTTTATTTTTACTGCAAGTACTGTTGTTTCGTGATGTATCTACTTCACACCTAAATATCAAGTTTGTTAGAGGAAACCACTCTCAATGAGCTTAACTAATATTCTGTTCCAAAATGAGATGACTGAGTGACTGACACATTATGTGTATGAATAAAAAAAATATGAAAAAACACACATCGCTGTAATATTAAATATAAACTTCGATCTACTTAGAGTCAAAAATAAATATTACCTAAGTTCACTGAAAGTGACGACTTTCAATAGTTTCGTTTCATGGTGATGGTTCAGCAAGACCAAGAAACATTAAAAAAAAAAAAACCAATATTGATAATGATTAAAGCTGATGTATCTTTCAAGACACGAATATCACGCATTAAACATAAAATTAATTTATCCATAAAATTCAGTTAGGTACAAAAACAAACTGGGTATATGATTG